ACAGATGTAGAAGTGTGGAAAGTATTGGAATTCCTGTGAACACATTCTGTTCATATTCACAGATGCTCCTTGTCTACAATGAGGTTACAATTTCCTGAACTTCTGCAAATCAGAACTATGACAAGCAGGGAATCGTATCAATAAATTAAAAAATATAATTACCTCAATGAATGTTAAAAAATTACATTGTGTTCAAAACATAAACTGTATTAACTGCAAATTTTATATACATTTACAAATTTGCTCATTGAGAACTATGTTCCCTTGTGCACTTTATTAGTTTTGGTGACAGTGCAGACGTAGACAGCATGCTATGTTTAAGAATAGAAATGACTAAATTGTAAAGAAACTCCTTAACTTCATTAGATAATAGCTTAGTTTAAGAGTAGGTAAAGAATCTCATTACTGGAAGCACCCAGGAGACATCTTTCATGAGTATTTGTAATTATGAACAGAGCTCTACAGGCTTTAGAGTCATACAACTTTGGCGAGCCATGATAAAATTAATGGGGCAACACAAGTGTAAATAGAGGAAATAGATTATTTAGACTTGAAAGTTTAGGTGTAACAAATCCTTCCTTACAATCCATGTTACATATGACTTTCTTTCACACTTAAACTTGACAGTAAGGATATATAAAAATTGCAGCAAAGATAATTATTGATAACCATAATAATACAAACCACTAAAAGAAAGGAGTTTTATAGTTTCTGTCCTTTTGAATTAGAAGTAACGGAACACATAGTGAACTCAAAACAGATCAAAATTTTATGGTGCTCAAAGACTCTAGATGCTGGTCTTTGGGACCCACAGACAAGCACATTTTCTGTCAGGAAATCTGCTTGTCTGTTAAGAATGCAGAACCTTAAAGATTCAGTTTATTGAGTAAAACATCTGCAGCTGTTCCTGCCTCCCAATAACTCCTAATGATTTGCATGTGGCCAGAGCACAGCCCACTTCTCTGAGTACTTCTTGAAAGTCATATCATACTTGGAGTGTCAGTACCACTCAGAACACAACATGAGGAGGAGAATCCTTGTTCAATTCCTTGGCCTTTTTATGCTCTGGCTCCCAGGTAAGAATGACTGACTGTATTTCTCTTAACATAGAGGTCAAATCAAGAAACTTACTGGTCTAAGAGAGAAATCTTGTCATGATATTATTAATTTTGTGAATATTTGCTTCTAAATCCCTATATTTAGGATCCAGATGTGACATCCAGTTGATCCAGTCTCCATCCATCCTGTCGGCACCTTTAGGAGACAAAGTTACCATCACTTGCAGAGCAAGTCAGAACATTAATATTTACTTACACTGGTATCAACAGAAACATGGTGAAGCCCCTAAGCTCTTGATCTATAGGGCAACCAATTTGCAATCTGGAGTGCCATCTAGGTTTAGTGGCAGTGGACATGGCACATATTTTACTATCATGATCAGCAGCCTGGAGAAAGAAGATGTTGCAACCTATTATTGTCTGCAAAGTCATATCCCTTACACTGTGATACAACCCATAACATAAACCACTCAGAGAGGAAGTATGAAGCTATGCTGTTCTGACTGCTTCTCCTGAGGCTCTTGTTTTCTCTAGCTTTGAAAGTCACTAGGAGATATTGGTGAATGGTCCAGAAATCCTACCATGTACCTAACTTACCACCCTGATTTGCAAAATTGTTCAAATATAACATTGCTTCCCATGGTTTCTTTAAAATGGAGGTGGAAATTTTTGATAAATATATAAAAAAATCCAACACTTCTTTATGATAATGGTCTTGAAGAGATCAAGGATACAAGCAACATATCTAAACATAATAAAAGCTATATACGGTAAGTGGGCAGTCAGCATGAAATTAAATGGATAGAAACTCAAACTGATCCCACCAAAATCGGAACAATACAGGGCTGGTCACTCTCTCCCTATCTATTAAACATAGTTCTTAAAATTCTGGCTAGAGCCATAAGCCAGCAAATGGGGATCAAGGGGATTCAAATTGGAAAGGAAAATGTCAAATGTTCAATATTGGTAGGTGATACGATAGTTTAAAACTGAACCCAAAACTTCCATCAGGGAACTTTTACAGCTGAAAAATACCTTTAATATTGTGACAGGATACAAAGTCTGCTCAAAACAATCAGAAACCCTCCTATATAAAAAAAGATGAAGCTGAGAAAGAAATCAGTAAAACATCACCCTTTCAGTAGCCACAAATAACATAAAACACATTGGGGTAACACTAACCAAAGAAGTGAAAGACCTATTCAACAGGAACTTTAAGTCCTTGAAGAAAGAAATTGAAGAAGATACCAGAAAATGGAAAGATCACCCATGCTCTTAGATGGGTACAATCAACATAATAAAAATGGCAATCATATGAAAATTAATCTATATATTCAATGCAATCCCCATCAAAACCCCAACACAATCCTTCACAGATCTTGGAAAAAACAATAATCAACTTCATGTGGAAAAACAAAAAAGGCAAGATAGCCAAAACTATCCTGTACAATAAATGAACTTCCAGAGGCATAACCATCCCTGATATCAAGCTCTTTTATAGAGCTACAGCAATGAAAACAGTTTAATATTGGCAATTAAAAAAGGTTGACCAATGGAATTGAATTGAAAACCTGGATATTAATCCACATGCCCATGAACACCTGATTTTTTAAAAGAAGCTAAAAATATGCAACGGAAAAAAAAGCATCTTCAACAAATGGCGCTGGCATAATGGGATGTCAATTTGTGGAAGAATAAAAATAGATCTTTGTCTATCCCCATGCTCAAAATTCAAATCCACATCAATTGCAGACTTCAATATAAATCTGACCACACAAAACTTAATAGAAAAGAAAGTGGGAAGTAGCTTCCAATGCATTGGTACAGGAAACAACTTCCTAAATATAACCCCTGTAGCACTGAGAGCAACAATAAATAAATGGAACCTTTGAAACTGTGAAGATTCCGTAGAGCAAAGTACACAGTTAATAAGACAAAAAGACAGCCTATAGAATAGGAAAAAATTTCCAACAACCCCAAATCGGTCAGGGGGCTGACTCCAAAATATATAAAACAACTCAAGAAAGTAGACATCAAAGTTCCAAATAATCTAATTAAAATATGAGGTATAGAACTAAACAGAGAATTCTTAACAAAAGAATTTCAAATGGACAGGACACATAAGGAACTTTTCAACATACTTAGCCATCAGAGAAAATGCAATTCAAAATGATTAATAGCTAATACCAGAAGCACCAATGATTGCATATGATGGAAAGGATGTGGAGTAAGAGGAACACTCCTCCATTGCTCGTAGGAATGGAAACTTGTAAAACTACTCTGGAAATCAGTATGGCCATTTCTCAGAAAATTGGAAATCAACCTACCTCAGGACCCAAAAATACCACTCTTGAGCATATACTCAAAGAATATTCAATTATACTACAAAGACTGTGTACATATCAGCATTATTTGTAATAGCCAGAACATGTAGACAACATAGGTTCCCCTCAACTGAAGAATGGATAAAGAAAATGTTGTATATTTACAGATAAAAGTACTAATCACTGGCAAAAAAAAATGACATCTTGAAATTTGATTGCAAATTGATGAAACTAGAAAAAAAAACCATCCTGAATGACATAACCTAGATTCAGAAAGATGTACATGGTATGTACTCACTCATAAGTAGATACTAGGTGTAAATCAAAGGTTAATGAGTCTATAGTTATAGTCCATGACCATAGAACAGCTAATTAACAAAGCAAACCCTAAGAAAGATATATATTCATATGGTAAGGGGAAATGGACAAGACCTGACAAAATTGGGATCAGGTAGAAGAGGTATTGGTTAGTTTTTCTATGCTCAGGGATTGGTCAATTTAGTTGATCAGGGGCAGAAATGGCTCTCATTTTATGACCAAACTGTATTTTTCACTGGTCCTTTTTAGCTTTTTTACTCTAATCTTAGGCCTAGGACATATTTCTTTCACTAGCTCTGATTCTACTAATAAAGTATTGTGCCCAGAGCACACCCCCACCCCAAGGAGACCACCAGAAAGCAGAGTGGATTGGACTCCAAAATGCAAGGTTAATTCTTTTTTTTTTATTTTTTATTTTTTTATTGAGAAAAGAGGAAAAAAAAAACAAAAAACAAGTTTCCACCTCCTCCCAGCCTCCCATTTCCCTCCCCCTCCTCCCAACCTTCTCCCCCTCCACCCACCCTTCTCCCCCTCCCCCCACTCCTTTCCCCCTCCCTCTCCAGTCCAAAGAGCAGTCAGGGTTCCCTGCCCTGTGGTAAGTCCTAGGTCCTCCCCCCTCCGTCCATATCTAGGAAGGTGAATATCCAAACTGGCTAGGCTCCCGCAAAGCCGGCACATTAAGTAGGATCAAAACCCCTTGCCATTGTCCTTGCCATCTCATCAGCTCTCATTGTTCGCCATGTTCAGAGAGTCCAGTTTTATCCCGTGCTTTTTCAGTCACAGTCCAGCTGGCCTTGGTGAGCTCCCAATAGATCAGCTCCACTGTCTCAGTGGGTGGGTGCACCCCTCGTGGTCCCGACTTCTTTGCTCATGTTCTCCCTCCTTCTGCTCCTCATTGGGACCTTGGGAGCTCAGTCCAGTGCTCCAGTGTGGATCTCTGTCTCTATCTCCATCCCTCACCAGATGAAGGTTCTATGATGATATGCAAGATATTCGTCAGTATTGCTCTAGGATAGGGTCATTTCAGGTTCTCTATCCCCAGCTGCCCAAGGAATTAACTGGGGACCTCGGCTTGGGCACCTGGGAGCCACTCTAGGTACAAGTCTCTTGCCAACCCTAAGGTAGCTCCCTTAACTAAGAACCGTGCTTCCGTGCTCCCCCATCCAACCTTCCTTCATCCCAATCCTCCTTTTTCCCAAAGTTCCCCCCATTCTCCCCTTCTCCCTTTACTCTTCCCATCTCCCCTTACCCCCATCCCACCCAACCCCCAAGATCTCAATTTTCTCCGCGGCAACTTTGTCTACTTCCCATAGCCAAGAAGATAACTATATGTTTTTCCTTTGGTTCACCTTCTTACTTAGCTTCTTTGGGATCACCAATTGTAGACTCCGTGACCCTTGTTTATGGCTAGAAACCAATTATGAGTGAGTACATCCCATATTCATCTTTTTGGGTCTGGGTTACCTCACTCAGGATAGTGTTTTCTATTTCCATCCATTTGCATGCAAAATTCGAGAAGTCATTGTTTTTTACCGCAGCGTAGTACTCTAGTGTGTATATATTCCATACTTTCTTCATCCATTCTTCCATTGAAGGGCATCTAGGTTGTTTCCAGGTTCTGGCTATTACAAATAATACTGCTATGAACATAGTTGAACAAATGCTCTTGTCATATGATAGGGCATCTCTTGGGTATATTCCCAGGAGTGGTATTGCTGGGTCCAGGGGTAGGTTGATCCCGAATTTCCTGAGAAACCGAAACACCGATTTCCAAAGTGGTTGCACAAGATTGCATTCCCACCAGCAATGGATGAGGGTTCCCCTTCCTCCACAGCCTCTCCAGCAAAGGCTATCATTGGTGTTTTTGATTTTAGCCATTCTGACAGGTGTAAGATGATATCTCAAAGTTGTTTTGATTTGCATTTCCCTGATCGCAAAGGAGGTTGAGCATGACCTTAAGTGTCTTTTGGCCATTTGAACTTCCTCTGCTGAGAATTCTCTGTTCAGTTCAGTGCCGCATTTTTTAATTGGGTTAATTAGCATTTTAGAGTCTAGTTTCTTGTGTTCTTTATATATTTTGGAGATCAGACCTTTGTCTCTTGCGGGGTTGGTGAAGATCTTCTCCCAGTCAGTAGGTTGCCTTTTTGTCTTGGTGACAGTGTCCTTTGCTTTACAGAAGCTTCTCAGTTTTAGTAGGTCCCATTTATTCAATGTTGCCCTTAATGTCTGAGCTGTTGGGGTTACACATAGGAAGCCATCTCCTGTGCCCATCTGATGTAGGGTACTTCCCACTTTCTCTTCTATCAGGTTCAATGTGTTCTGACTGATAGTGAGGTCTTTAATCGATTTGGACTTGAGTTTTGTGCATGGTGATAGATATGGGTCTATTTTCATTCTTCTACAGGTTGACATCCAGTTCTGCCAGCACCGTTTGTTGAAGATGCTTTCTTTCTTCCATTGTATACTTTTGGCTCCTTTATCAAAAATGAGGTGTTCATAGGTTTGTGGGTTAAAATTCGGGTCTTCTATACGATTCCACTGGTCGACTTCTCTGTTTTTATGCCAGTACCACACTGTTTTCATCACTGTACCTCTGTAATAGAGTTTGAAGTCAGGGATGGTAATGCCTCCAGACAGTCCTTTATTGTATAGGATTGTTTTGGCTGTCCTGGGTTTTTTTGTTTTTCCATATAAAGTTGATTATTGTCCTCTCAAGGTCTGTGAAGAATTTTGATGGGACCTTGATGGGGATTGCATTGAATCTATAAATTGCTTTTGGTAGAATTGCCATTTTTACTATGTTGATCCTCCCAATCCAAGAGCAAGGGAGGTCCTTCCATTTTCTGGTATACTCCTCAGTTTCTTTCTTCAATGCCGTAAAGTTCTTGTCAAATAGATCTTTCACTTCCTTGGTTAGAGTTACCCCAAGATATTTTATGCTGTTTGTGGCGATCGTGAAAGGTGAAGCTTCTCTGATTTCCCTCTCTGCTTCCATATCCTTTGTGTATAAGAGGGCGACTGATTTTTTGGAGTTGATCTTGTATCCTGCCACATTACTAAAGCTGTTTATCAGCTGTAAAAGTTCTTTGGTGGAGTTTTGGGGGTCGCTTATATACACTATCATATCATCTGCAAATAACGAAAGTTTAACTTCTTCCTTTCCAATTCGAATCCCCTTGATCCCTTTATGTTGTCTTATTGCTATTGCTAGAACTTCAAGTTCTATATTGAAGAGGTATGGCGAGAGTGGACAGCCTTGTCGTGTTCCTGAGTTTAGTGGGATGGCTTTAAGTTTCTCTCCATTTAATTTGATGTTAGCTGTCAGCTTCCTCTATATAGCTTTTATTATATTTAGGTATGACCCTTGTATCCCTAATCTCTCCAATACTTTTATCATAAAGGGATGTTGAATTTTGTCAAATGCTTTTTCAGCATCTAATGAGATGATCATATGGTTTTTTTCTTTCAATTTATTTATATGATGGATTACATTGATAGATTTTCATATGTTGAACCAGCCCTGCATCCCTGGGATGAAGCCTACTTGATCATAATGGATAATTTTTCTAATGTGTTCTTGGATTCGGTTTGCCAGTATTTTGTTGAGGATTTTTGCATCGATGTTCATGAGTGAGATGGTCTATAATTCTCTTTCTTGGTTGAGTCTTTGTGCGGTTTTGGTATCAGAGTTACTGTAGCTTCATAAAAGGAATTTGGCAGTGCCTCTTCTGTTTCTATATTGTGAAATACATTAAGGAGTATAGGTATTAGATCTTCTTGGAAGTTCTGGTAGAATTCCGCATTGAAACCATCTAGTCCTGGGCTTTTTTTGGTAGGGAGGTTTTTGATAACCTCTTCTAATTCTTCGCGACTAACAGGTCTATTTAGATTGTTCACCTGGTCCTGATTTAACTTTGGTATATAATATTTGTCTAAAAAAGTGTCCATTTCCTTTACATTTTCCAGTTTTGTGGCATATAGGCTTTTGTAGTAAGATCTAATGATTCTCTGAATTTCCTCTGTGTCTGTGGTTATGTCCCCCTTTTCATTTCTGATCTTATTAATTTACAAATTCTCTTTCTGCCATTTGGTTAGCTTGCATAGTGGTTTGTCAATCTTGTTGATTTTCTCCAGGAACCAGCCTTTTGTTTCATTGATTCTTTGTATTGTTTTCTGTGTTTCTATTTTGTTGATTTCAGCCCTCAGTTTGATTATTTCCAGTATTCTACTCCTCCTAGGTGAGTCTGCTTCTTTTTTTTTCTAAAGCTTTCAGGTGGGCTGTTAAGTCTCCAATGTGAGCTTTCTCTGTTTTCTTTAAGTGGGCACTTAGTGCTATGAACTTTCCTCTTAGGACTGCTTTCATAGTGTCCCATAAGTTTGAGTATGTTGTTTCTTTATTTTCATTGAATTCCAGGACGACTTTAATTTCTTTCTTTATTTCTTCCTTAATCCAGGTATGGTTCAGTAGTTGACTGTTCAGTTTCCATGACTTTGTAGGCTTTCTGGGGGTAGCATTGTTGTTGAATTCTAACTTTAATCCATGGTGATCTGATAAGACACAGGTGGTTACTAATATTTTTTTGTAACTTTGGATGTTTGCTTGTTACCGACTATGTGGTCGATTTTCGAGAAGGTTCCATGAGCTGCAGAGAAGAAGGTATATTCTTTCCTATTTGGATGGAATATTCTATAGATGTCTGTTAAGTCCATTTGATTCATTACCTCCATTAATTCTCTTATTTCTCTGTTAGGTTTCTGTCTGATTGACCTGTCCATTGGTGAGAGAGGAGTGTTGAAGTCTCCTACTATTAGTGTGTGCGGTTTGATGGCTGCCTTGAATTTTAGCAATGTTTCTTTTATGTACTTGGGTGCTTTTATATTAGGGGCATAGATGTTCAGGATTGAGACTTCATCCTGATGAACTGTTCCTGTTATGAGTATAAAATGCCCCTCTCCATCTCTTCTGATTGATTTAAGTTTGAAGTCAACTTTGTTAGAGATTAGTATGGCCACACCTGCCTGTTTCTTAGGTCCATTTGCTTGATAGGCCTTTTCCCAGCCCTTTACTCTGAGTAGGTGCCTGTCTTTGTGGTTGAGGTGTGTTTCTTGTAGACAGCAGAATGTTGGATCCTGTTTTCTTATCCAATCTCTTAGCCTGTGCCTTTTTATAGGTGAGTTGAGTCCATTGACATTAAGTGATATTAATGACCAGTGGTTTTTAACTCTTGTCATTTTTTTTTTAGTCGTAGAGTTTGTGTGTTTCCCTTCCTTGTTTTGTGTTGGTGAAGGGTCTCTAGATGTCTGAGTTATTGTGGACATTGTTGGACTCCTTGGTTAGTGATTTTCCTTCAATTACTTTCTGTTATGCTGGATTTGTGGCTGCGTAAGGTTAATTCTTTTATTGTGAGCACAAGCACGTACAGGCAATTACTGGCTGGCCAGGAACTTCCTCTTCATTATCCCAAACAACAAGGTAGAGAAAAATTAAAATTTCCTTTGCAGGGTTAGTTTTTTAAAAGTGCAATCAACAAAGAGGCTTTTGGCAGGTGTGCATGGCCTTCCGCCCCCTCTCCTATCCTGATAAGTCAGCTTTCTCCTTGTTATACTTGTTAACATCAGGTAGCTGGCTGGCTAAGTGACCTTGTGCTTGGAATCTCCCCAGTGGGAGGGGGAAAGGAAAGCACTGCTAATCCGTGTTTCTAATTTTAAAACATTTTGCTAGGAAATTCTTGTCCCTTTGAAAATAAGGAGTGAGGGACTCTCATGAGGGTCTCTCACAAAATATGTTCTTTGACACTACTTTCAGAGTCAGGGCATGATTCTTTGGTTCTGAGTCAAGCAATAAAGATGTTTCTTTCCCTAGCTCAAGTCTCAAATACAGGATATGTTTCTTTCACTGGCTCTGGGTTCAGAGTCAGGGTCCTCAGTGATTGGTTGGTTTCGTTCTCCAGTTGTCCCTTTTACCCTACAGTAAGTATATTGGTGTTCACCTTCAAAACTTTTTGTGCCAGATTAGTACATTTCCTTCAGAGTCCAGAAGAGTGGTTTCGATATCCTCGAACTGGAGATTCAGGCAGCCCCTAGCGGCCATTTGTTTGCTAGGAATCAAAACCAACTCCTCTAGAAGAGCAACCAGTGTCTTTTTTTGTTTGTTTGTTTGTTTGTTTTTTAGATTTTTTTTGAGACAGGTTTTCTCTGTGAAATAATCCTGGGAGTCATGAAACTCACGTTATATGCCAGGCTATCCTTGAAATCACAGAGATCCACTTGCCTCTGCCTCCTGAATGCTGGGATTAAAGGCATGCACCCCCACTACCTGGCTGCACCCAGTGTTCTGATCACTAAGCCATTTTCTGAGCCTTCTTCCTTGGGACTTTAATGATATATTTAGGTAACAATATCCTCACTAAGAATACTCCCACTTGGTATGTATGCATACTTAGTTTTTTTTATTTTTGTTTTGTGTATGTGTGTGTGTATTTTAACATGTATATTTTATGAATTTTAGCTGTTAACATAATTATGTTGCTCAGGAAAAGTTTTTTTTTTCATGGAAAGAATGAAAAGAATGCCTGTGTTTTTGAATGCTTGTTTTTGAAAGGAGGACAGAGATTTATAACATAAAATTTTCTCTGATCTCTGTTCAAAAACATCACATGGACTTTTATATCTTCATAAAGAAAAACTGTCCTAGCAGCTGGAGACCCCAGTATGAGCAATTTGAGCAGCAAGACTCTCACTTCTGCTTCCAGTAGTAGTTTGTGGCATGGCTTTTATCACTGTGGGAGGGGTTCTGTAATATTGTTGACAAAAATAAGTTGCAACATCTTCAGTCAGCAGACCATTGATCTTGAGAGAATACTGTGTGCCAGATCTACTGCCACTGAACCTTGATGAGACTCCATTTGCCAAGTCGCTTGCAGTATAAATCAGGAGCTTGGGAGATTTCCCTGGTTTCTGCTGATGCCACGCCAAACCATTGTAAATGTTTTGACTAGCCTGACATGTGATGGTGACACTGTCTCCCAGAGATACAGACAGGATTGCTGGAGACTGGGTCATCTGGATGTCACATCTGGCACCTAAGGTTGGAAAATTGTAAACAAATTCCTTATATTAATCCTGTTATTTGAGGACTTTCATGGAGAAAATGAAGAACTGACAATACTCAGCTGAATACATTGTCAATGCTCTCTTCCTTACCTGTAAGCCAGAGTAACAGCAATCCCAGGAGATGAGTGGTGATCATCATTTCTGTGCTGTGACTTGTCTGAACTTGTGACTCTAGCACATGTTGTGACCTTTTTACCTGTTTATGAAGAAGTCCTCAAGACAGTGGGTTGTGCTCTGGAAACATGCAAATCAGCATTGACTGAGCACAGCCAAAAGATTGCTAAGTGATTCATTATAAACCTGTGGTCCTCTTCTGTCTCAGATCAGGCAAAGTATATGTTCTTTGTAGGGAATGTGCTCTTTTTTGGACAACAAAAACCAGCATGGGATTATAAGTTTATTTTGATTCCTGTTATGTATCATGTAGAATTTCCTTTTTATGTTTTCATTTATGTCAGTGACTGTCAGATATGGTACAATTCTAGATCCTAGAAAGTACATAAATGGGGCTGGAGAGATGGCTCAGAAATTAAGGGCATTGCCTGCTCTTCCAAAGGTCCTGAGTTCAATTCCCAGCAACCACATGGTGGCTCACAACCATCTGTAATGGGGTCTGGTGCCCTCTTCTTCTGGCCTGCAGTTATACACACAGGCAGAATATTGTATACATAATAAATAAATATTTTTTTAAAAAAGAAATTACATAAATCATTAGAGGGTCTTTTCATTGGTATATGTAGATATTATTGAGGTAAGACAGCCACATTTTTTTTCTATTTATATATGAGATTGTATTTTAATTAAGGCATTTCTCCTTTCCTTTCTTCTCTTCAAATACTCCCATACACACCACTTTATTCTCCTTAAAATCCATGGTTATTTTTCATTACTTTATTATTTAATACATGTATGTATTTTTGTATACATAAATATCCATAAATATAAACTGTTGAACACATATAATTTTACTTGTATGTAAAATTATTTGGTTGCTAGTAATCGGTGTGCTCTTTCCTGGGAAGGAGAACCTTTCCTGCTCCTAGCATTACTTGGTTATCTTTAATTCTTCATGGAGAAGTGAGGCCACTGTGAGCTTTACACCATCAAGTTTAGCATGTTCTTTGGTATTTGCCCTGTTCCACTCTTATTTGCTTAATAATGTTGGTGAAACTTTACATGTGTATCTCCTGTGTTGTTAGGAGACAAACATCTCACTGAAGACTCTCTGTTCCTATGGCCATTACAATCTGTTTACCCCATTCCAAAAATGTTCCCTGAGCTGTGTATATTGGAGTATTGTATAGGTGTATCTATTGGGACTGAACTCTACAACTTATCATACAGCTTCTTGTTCAAGTTGATTACCATATATGTAACAGAATACTACTTGAGACATAATTTGAAGGAAGGACAGGCTCTCATGTAATTAACACATTTTTCAGGTAAAGAAACTAATTTTAGTTATTTATGACCATTTCCTTACGCAAGATGTAATTATATCAAGAGCACACAAGGTCATAGAGTTTCTCCCCTTCCACTTTTGCATATGAATTTCCTTACTAAGTCTGGGAATAATATCTTGGCTTATATCCATGCCCAATGTTCCTGTAAGTCTTTCCATTATTGCTCCTGACTTCAATCCCCACTTAACACAAGTTTTTGTCTTTAAAAATATGAGTTTTTTTTGAGATATTGTCAATAATTATCCTTGAATGTACAATGGTTACTAAACTTGGAAATACTTTGAGAATCATAACTTTCAGAAACTAATAAGACATGTCTCTTAGTTTGGTTTTAGGGCAAAGGGATACAAGCTATGTAGTGAGAGAAGTATATAAGAAATTGAAGTTAGAAGCTACACATTGGGATTTAGAACCATAACGGGATTCAGAATATATATACCATTTGGGAGTAATGATATGATGTCCTTATTGTGAGTTTCTATGAAGGGCTAAATGGTGGGGTTTTCCATCTGCAGACAATGATTCTGAAAGAGATAGAAAGCATGCAGGATGGGAACAACACCCATTCCATGCCTGATAATCATGATATACACAGGAGAGGTGTTTGCAAGAATAGGTAGGTGGATATGTTAAGAAACAGACTAACCTGAAATCAGTGACTAGTATGTGGTAATAGCATAATAAAACGTATGTACCATGTCCTAATTATGTCCATTAATTTTGATGCTTTACATGTATTGATGCCATATATGTATATTTTTATTAAGCAACCAAGTCATGCTCAAGAACATAGAGTTTAAAAAATGATAATTTGTTTCATAACTGACAAAAATTGTTTTGAAAAAATACTTTTGATATACAAATATTTGGGTAATAGCCTAAATATTACTGAAAATTATAATTAAGTTTTTAAAGATTTTCTTTTAATGTATGAGACTGCTATGTTTGTATAAACAGCACATGTGTGGTTGAACTCATAGATGAGTTTATCAGATTGCTGGAACTGGTGTGGTTTTAAGACACCATGTGAAAGCTGGAATTGCACCTGGATCCTCTACAAGAACAAGAAATGGTCTCAACTTTGAGCCACCTAGAATCCAACCCTTAAAAAATTAATTTTAGGTGTGTTATGACCCTGTTTCACCCATACATTTTGATTTATAACTTCTCCACTTTCTACTAACTGTCCTTATAACTCTCACTAACCAAATACTGACTTTCACATTCTCTGATTATACAGAAGCATAGAACATTCAAGTGGATATTGATTATACATAGTAAATTTGTTCTCTATAGACAGGCAGAAGTAAATTCATTTTTACCCAGGTTCGGTATCAGGAAAGATGCCAGTGTAAGACAATCTCTGTGTGTACTGCACTGGCCCCATACCTAAGGTAATCAGCAGACAATTTTCCCAGTCTCCAGAAAGTAAGACTTCACTTACAACACATTAGTTTTATTGTGGAATTGAAACAGTGCCTGGACTCTTTTAGCTGACCACCTTTACCTTCACTTAGGTCATGAAGATTTATTCTCAGAATATTCTAGTTATTATTTTACATAACACATGATACAATGGGGCGAACTATGTCAGTTCCTGGTCACCCTAATTCACTCATCTTTCACAGTACTATGGAAGCCCATTTTCCAACACACTCCATTGTTTTAAATCAACTAATACTACATTATATTTCAAATCTCATTCGTGAAGTGATTATTAAACTTCCATAAAATCTATAATGTACTATCCATAGAAGTTTATAAAATGATGAGATTACTCATGAGAAAAGCATGTCAACCAGAGGGTTTGCCAAATTTATAGCTCAGTCACATAAGTGGGCAAAGATTAGAAGAAAATTCTGAATGTCAAGTGAATCAGAATGGAGAAACTTGTTTTGTCACTAGTGTTACAGTGATTGGCAATCCAAAAATTGGAAAACATTATTGGATGGACATATATCATTGTCATCCCACACAAATGAGATGATTAAAATGAGGACAGGTTTGGATCTTTATTCAGGTTTATCCAGAAAAAAGTTGGACAATGATTAAAGGAAAATTATAGGGCACTAAACAGAAACTAATGAACCAAACCTGAGATTCTTTCTTCGTAATGATTATTAGAAGCATTAGGAATAATTCTGCACACCCTATCACACAAAGATATTCAGGAATGCACACACATGCAGTCTAATTCTTGCTACTAAGAAGCCAAAAATATTGTGCTGGATATAGCATAATCAGGGATATCTTTTCTAGCATTGAGAATCATGAATTAGAGTCCCGAGCATTACATGAACTAAGCTTTGTGGACACCCTTGTACTCCCAGCTCTTGAGACTTAAAGGGGTGTCAGAAGTCTAAAGTCATCCTCCACTACAAGTTTGAGCCATTACCCTCTCTGAGGAGTGGATGGGGAGTTGGAAGGTGGAGGAAATGAGAGTAGGGGAGAGAGGGGGAACTGGGATTGGTATATAAAAAAGATTGTTTTCATTTAAAAAAAATAATAGAAAAAAGAGAAAAAAGCAATTTTGAGGCCAGCCTAAACTACATGTGACCCAGAATTATTTAAAAAAATAACTTTTCTAATCAGAAAATATTGATGACAATTAATTAAACATGTTTACAAATGTTGAAGGAAGGGATAATTTGTTACTTCCAAAACACAGAATCAATCCACATTTGAGTTATATCACATAAGACCACATAGGCTGGAAATAGTATTAGCCAAGTATACAGTTAATATGGCTAATCATTGGAATACTGATGTGGGAGTCTCCTCTGTGTGTTGCTTGTATAGGTTAATGAATAAAGAAATTATCTTGGCCTGAGAGGGCAGAACCTGGGTAGGCAGAGAAGACAGAACTGAATTCTGGGAGGATGAAAGCAGAGATATGACATGGATCCACCAGAGACAGACACTGGGAATTTTACCCGATAAGCTACTGCCACATGGTGATATATACATTTATAGAAATGGGTTAAATTAAGATGTAAGAATTAGCCAATAAGAAGTTAGAGTTAATGGGACAAACAATGTTTTAATAAATACAATTTCTGTGTGGTTATTTCAGGGCTAAGCTAGCCAGTTGGCTGGGATGAGCAAGTGGGCCCTCCTTCTAACATTACCCTAAGCATATGTATCATTAGAACTCATATTTGGTCATATTGTGGCAATTGAATCTAATATACATTGTTTCACACCTCTATAATATGTTGTATAATATTTTATGCAGCTTGGTAAATATGATACATTTAAGTGGTGTTTTCTAGTCATTCACCAGGGTGCCTGGTGTTTTCTGCTGTATACCTTAGCATCAAGCATAAACACTGGTATTGAAAACCCCAATGCAGGAAATGATAAACCTTAAAATCTGGAAGGAATATTAAATATAAAATGTTTAGAAATATGTTTTTTAATTGTTCAGTTGTATGTAGGAACATATCTGACCATTTGAATGTATATAACTATGTTTGTACCTCCAGACTCTGAAATTTAAAGGCTAGATTATATAGCACCTCTATCTACTGTTTAGGTATTAGAATGAAGTTCATTTGTCATAATTTGAATGTTTTGCACCTTTTTTTATAGTAGTGCTTGATTGTTAGGTACACCCATTCCCACAATGCCTCACATTCTAAAAAACACATTAAGATACTACCTCAATCTCTCCCCT